CTTTTGGGAAAGGTAGGATTTAGTTGCTGCGCAGGTAAGAGAAGCGGGTGCATGCCTGGTTTGGTAATACCACAGGGGCATCCGCATGTGCTGCTCAGCAGCATCAGAACTGGAGGGGTTCTCCTGCAGGGAGAGGGAAGAATTGCCCGTGGAGGGATGAGGTTTGGTGTGTTTCACATTGCCTTGGTGCTGGAGACAAAAGCCCAAGTCCATTGGAGGATTCAACTTCTTTCTTTCAACCTCCCAGCATGTGGCTTATACATATTCGGGAAAAAATCATAGTGGCAGTTTTTACTTAAACAAGACTTCTGTCCCACGTGCAAATTGTGCTTTAATTTTGGTTTGCCTGACTTGGGTCCATGAAATGTTTCCACCAGCTTCTGCCGTAGGGCAGTCCAGATCACCTGACTAATGAAATAGTAGCTCATCTGTTTTGTTCTCATACACCAGGACTAGTCAATTTGTAAACCTGAGGCTGTTTGTCAGAAGGAATCAACAAGGAAATATAGTCAATAAAATCTCTTAAACGTTCTGTTCTAAGCATTTGTAGAAGATCCAGCTTGTAATTTCTCTGAAAATTATCTTGTACTTGGAGATCAAGGACTGAAAGTTTGGGAAGTAAACACCATGTTCCTTAGTCAGGGTAAAAAAAAAAAAAGAGGTTTAATCCCTCGTTTTAAATGCAATGCAACTTTAACTGTGGAGCCCCTATGGCGCCTTTATAATACCACATAAAACTCAAGTGGTATTTTGGCTCATAAAACTGATTTGCACTGTACTGCTGGCAGTTACACAGCTTACTGCTCTCACTGTCTTTAATTGGTGGACTGATAAGACAGTAGAAAAACAGCATTATTTTGCTTTGGGGTGGAGAAAGCAATTTTGTAAGCCTGGGAGGGGAGGAGTATTTCTGATTCAGATGAACATTTCTTTGCTCTGCATAATGGGAGAGGACCTTTCACTTAATTACCACTGGAAACCGTAAATGGTTAATTGACATAAAAAAGCCCAATATAGGCATTTTACAGTTTTCCTTTTGATCTTCCATGTGGGTGCATATTGTACATGCAGTTTGAAAAGAATAACTAAAAGGCTGTGATGTGGATGTGTGCTAGCATGTGAGGAGGGCTTATGTGAGTACAGAGTTTGGTGCAGCATCAAAGAAAGGGATACACCCATTTCATTTATGAATAAATTGAGCATGTAATTAACACCTGGACTTTACAAAATACTTTTGAAACACAATTAAATCTGCTGCTTTACTGCAATGAACAGAAGTGCTAAAAGCGAAAATATTGACCCCTGCTGAGTTTGATTTTGAATATATTTGACTTTAGAGGCAGACTGAATTCAAACCCTTGAAACCCATCAAACCATAAAACAAGGCTGAGCACCATTTCTTGACAACCAAAGTCAAAAGAATAAGGGCTTTTTAGAGCTGGTTTGAATTCTTAATTTTTTTAAGAGACACAAACTATATTTTCAGTGTAAGAAGAAGCAATTCTAATTAATGCAATCTTTCTCTTTTCCCATAGCAATTTATCCAGAAACAACCTCTCAAGTTTGTCCAAGAAGCCTTTTCGCCATCTGGGTTTGTCTGATCTGTAAGTTGTCATTTCTTAAAATAAAGTCTATTTTCGGCTGGAACGGAAGAACAAGACTTTAAAGTTTGTTCTGTTGAAGACAGAGGTCCATCAATGATTAGGAATGAAATTATGATCCAAAGAAAGCAGCAATGCTGGACACGTAAATAGAGAGATTTTCATTCCAGGGCTTTGAGAAGGTCAAGTGTATATTTTAAAACAATGCAGAGGTCAAAATAGCCTCTTCCCTTCAGGTTTTAAAATTTTGTATTGTGAGATAACTTCACACAAACCTACTGGTGTTTGTATTAAATATTTAAGCTAGTGAAAACACAGCCTTCTACAGACCTTCAAATGAAGCCTCTCTCTCATATTCTTATATTGGCCCCACAGCTGCTATGCTTATGGTTGGCTATTGAAGAATACATTTATTTTCTCAAATTCTTTGAGTTGCATTGTGCTTTATATAATCATTTGGTGAAGATATATTTGTTGATTGTTTCAATACTACATTTTTATCCTCTGTTCCATCAAGCAGAATTTCTGTGCTGGTATACATCCCAAAATTTTGGTCATTTTGTGCATTCTTTGCTAGTATGTGGGACTGCAGAGAGCCAGTAGGAGCTTTGGGAGGGCTGGGGCTGCAGAGGAGAGGGAGATTGCTCTCTTGGTGCTCAGAGCAGCATCAGAAGTTGTCCAAAATGCCAGTCCAAGAATTACAACGCCAGCCTTGCAATCCTTGATCTCTTTCGGTGAACTTCAGTGCGTGAGAAATGAAATGATCAAATCCCAGTGCCACAAAAAGAGGTTATGCCTCTCAGGTATGTTTTCTTGATAATTAAGTTGGTATAATCACTTTCTTTACAGCCCAGGGAACATTGTTCACTGGAATTTTCTTTCATAATCTGGCGGTCGCCAAGCACCTTGGTGGAGAGATTAGCTAGTTTCTTGGAGTTTGTTTCCTGCCAGTAACAGGTTTATTCCAAAGCACAAATCAGGTGTTCACCATCTCAGGTGAACAGCTTCTTTTAGGCTGTGGGTGGGTGAGTGCTTACAAACATTTTGAAGGAGAGCAATGTCAACATTGCTGAGAGCTTTCTGAGGAAGTTGGTTTGCTCCTGGGCAGAAAGAAGTAAAAAAAGGATTTGGGACAGAGAGCGAGAGAATCGAATGTTATAAATATGTGATGGGAATTACGGATGTGAAGTTTAAAGAGTCAAGGAAATAGCACTTAGAGGCACAACAACTGGCCTATGTGAATTAGGAGTGAATATATTGGTGGTGTTATTACCAGAGTTAAACAATGGCCATTCAGTGGCATGGTAGTAGAAGCAGGGGAAGGGTACTGGGAGTGAGCCAGACATGGGCAGTGTGAAGGTTAAACTGAGTAGCATTTGAGGTATGGAGGCAACGTGTGATGGGGGACAAGTTGAGAGAAAGGGAGGTGGTGTGGTTTAACCCGTCAGGCAGCTGAACACCACACAGCTGCTCACAATACAACATTGCGGTAGAGTGTCATGGGCTTGGAAAGAGTTGGAGTGCAGGGACAGAAGAACTGAAGTTATGCAAACAGCGATTGTGATGAAGTGAGATAAACAGACGTGGGGGAAGTGAGGGAAAGAAAGTGGGGGGAAAAAAGCAGAGCCTGAAGGGAGGAAGAACAGTGATAAAATTAGTATCAGTTGAACAATTCTGTTGAGAAGTGGCTAATACATAGGTGGAAAATCAGAAATAGGAGTACCGGAAGGGAAATCCGAGAGGAGAATGGTGCCATAAATAGGTTCCTCTAAATCTGACAAACAAGCGTCCTGTTGTTAGCACTCTTGTAAATCAAAACATAAAGGGATGAAAAATCCAGGATAGGGTGAAGTAGGAGATATTCACCAGGTATTGTAGAGAAGGAGATACTGCTTTTGAAGGCTTCTTTTTTGAGAACAAACTGTATCTGCAGCTGTAAAATTACAGCAAACAAGATAAAGATGTGTGACATGCTTTTACTGGCATGTGGTTCCTGGCTGGGCCATCATGCCTTTATCCAGATCCTGCCTGTGATGTGCCTAAATCCTTCGATGGATTTAACACAAAATAAAACAGTGGAAGAGGACTGCTCAGCCACTGGTCAAGGGGAATTTCTCTTTTAGAGGGAAGTTTTATGATGAAACAGAAGATGGGAAGTAAATCTTGCTGTTTTGGAAATGCATGTTGTGGGTTTTCACCCAAGGGATCCTAATGTTCATATTCTGTCTTGCACAAGCAATTCTTGTCCATGCTGTGGTGGCATTAAAATCCAGCAGACGATTTCTGTGAATACAACTTGCTCCTTCAGAGGCTTGTGAGAATGATCTCTGCAGCTGTTAATCCTCAAAGAACTGCAGATGGCTTTTGGGGGAACAGGTTACAGCTCTAATAAGCTGAGTTTTTCACGTTGTGCACACTTCATGTCCTCAGGAGGCATTTATATGAGCATAGATTCTGTGAGCAACTTCAGTTTGGTTTCTGCACATTGAAAATATCCATGAAATTTTGTTAAGAACAGTTGCCCTCCTTGTAATGCCTTAAACAGTCACTTGCACATGCTTTATTGGAACTCATCTATGCCTGTAGGAGAAAAAATAACACTGGGTCACTTTCATAGATACTGGGATGTTTCTGTTCATGTTTTACTTGGGCGTTATTGCATTACATTGGTATGCAGTTTTGTTAAATTTTAAAGCTATAATTTGTTAAGTCTGCTAACCTGAGGTTTAAATTCTATGCAGCATAGCTAGACGACACATTTCTGTTTCAGGGTCACTTTTTCAGTCAGTGTTTCTTCATGACATTACCTAGGGTTTTACTGTGGATTTTCTGGAGTGTTGTAGCGGATGAATTTTGAAGGTTAGGTAAAATCCTGTTCTATGATTAGAGTTAGTTAGGGCTTGCCTATAATCCATGACTGTTTGACTCTATACTGAATTTACCACCTCACAGGAGTAAACCCTTTCTGGCATGATCTTTCTGAGGTAGCTGAGCAGAGAGTCAAGTGTAGAAGAGAGGAATTCTGATCTCTGCTTGACTCTTGTGAAATAAAATGGAGCTTGATGGAAAACCCAGTTCTCCATGTACTCCTCATTTACACCAGTGAATTGGAGATAATAGTTGATCCCCCTGTGTGACCTCCCTGATCTGTGACAGTCTGGATTCTTGGTGCTAGGAGAGCTTCATTCTCTACATGGAAACCATGATCCACTTGCGTCTTGCATTGCATTGAGGTTGCATTCCTTATCCTTCTCAACTAAAGGGTTCAACTTCTACTTTCACCCAGCTGTGTGCTTGGATTCCCCCTGCCCCCCATTTTTTTCTATATGCATGACACATTCTGCATGCTAAATAAATTGGGTTTTTTGCTATAGGATATTGGTGGACAATCCATTCAAGTGTTCCTGTGAAATTATGTGGATCAAGAAATTTCAAGAGACCAAGTTCTACACAGAAACTCAGGATTTATATTGCATAGATGACAACAACAAGAGGACAGCCTTACTGGATATGAAGGTCCCAAACTGCGGTAATAACTCTTTTATCGTAAAATTACTGCTAAGTTATCATGAGTCAGGAAAAACAAACATGCTTTTTTATAAGATACCTATCAGGTTAACAACAGCGCTGCTAAAGAAAAAGGGTTTGGTGGAGATATAAACCACTCAGTGGTCCTTCACCCCACCTGGAATAATTCTGGGAGCTTCATGTAAAGCTTTTTTTTTCTCCTTCATCCTTTAAGAATGTACCATTATTCAAGTGGAGGAAATCAGAACAACAATTACAGATAACACACAAGAATTATATAAAATGCATGTGCCTTTGTTAAACTAAATAGTGGTGCTTCCAAGCTCAATAGACACAAAATTTTATCTCCTGGATTTTTTTTTCAGGTATTTATGGCTAATTAAGTCTTTATTTTCCTTCAAAAATACAAACCCTAGTGCTAGAGACATAGAATGAAAATTCAGAACTGCCTGCTAATAGAGGCAAATTAGCAATAGCTCTGTTCTTCGCACAGATAAAACTCTGCTGAGTTCACTTGTAAAGGCTAAGCAAAAGAGTTGTAACAGGCTTACAGGTCTGTAGCATTTTGCAGCGTATTGTTTTCAGTCAGCTTACGTGGGTCTGGAGATAGTGGAAAAACGATGTAACAGTAAAGTTTTTTTTGTAGACAACTTTGCTGCCTGTGTATGTTCTGGGACAGCTGGTCAAAGGTTTCACCTGCTAGTCAAAGAGATTTCTCCTCTGCTGTGTACGAGGGGCAGAGGCTGGGTGTTTCTGACATGGTGTGAGACCTGCTGGAGTCTGGAGTTCCCTTTGCAGAGCAGGGAGCTGGGGTGCCCAGCAGCAGGCAGGCAAGAAGGAAAGGGAGAGAGGGTATTCTCATGGAGGGCTGATTTGGATTGGGAAAGCTGTAAGTGAAGGTGAATAGCAGGAGGAGAAACATGAAAATTATACCTATTCTCCTTCCACCTTAGCCCATTGAGCGTCCTTTTCTCCACTGCGTATGTGGAGGATGTGACACCCTCTGACAGCAGCTGCCAGCAAGGAACAGCCGTGGCGGGAAGCTCCTGCAGACCCAACACATGTGGCGTTTAATGGCAGTAACACGTTTTATGGCCATGTATCATGCTGTTGGTCTTGTGTCCAGCTTCCAGCTGGGGCCAGGCATGGTGGTGTATTCAGGGCAAAAATGATGCTAGTGGCTGGTGGGGGTAAAAAAAAAAAAAAAAAAAAAAAGAGGCAACCTGTTCAGGGGGCCTTGTGAGCTGCACAGACAGTCTTGTGTGCTGAAGGATCTGATTTACCTGAAATGGGGGATGGTACTGAGCTGAGCTAAATGGACCCAACTGTCTGCTCCAGCTGGATGGACTAGAAGGTAGATTAATCTGCTGGGTATCTGTTGTGGTTTAACCCATCAGGCAGCTGAAAACCACCCATCTGCTTGCTCACTCCCCCCCTCCCTTAGTGGGATGGGGGAGAGAATCGGAAAAAAAGGTAAAATCTGTGGGTTGAGATAAAGAGAGTTTAATAAAACAGCAGAGGGAAAAAAAGTAACAGTAATAGAATACACAGATTATACAAAACAAGTGATGCTCAGTGCAATTGCTCATCACCTGCTGACAGATGCCCAGCCCACCCTGAGCAGCGGAGCAGCAATCGCTCTTCCCCGGCCAACTTCCCCCAAGCACAACATCATATGGTCTGGAATAGCTCTTTGGTCAGTTTGGGTCAGCTGTCCTGGCTGTGCCCCCACCCAGCACCTGGCGGAGCAGGGGAAGCTCAAAAAGTCCTTGACTGGTGTAAGCACTACCCAGCAACACCTAAAACACCAGTGTGTTATCAAAATTCTTCTCATCCTAAATCCAAAACACAGCACTATGCCAGCTACTAGCGGCGGAACTGAGGTCAGTTAGTACAGCCAGGAACTGTAGCACAGTCTTTTGTAACATTCTTGGCCGGCACATCTAGAAACTACCAGGTAGCTAGGATTTTCCTTTGAAAACTTTTGTTGCTAAATACCCCAAAACTAAACCTTTGAGACATTATTTCTTTCTCCTGAGTTCTTGACCATCTGCAGTCACACAGACCTGTCTCTGACCTCTTGATGCTGTGTAGGTGCATGTGTGTACACAGGCATGCATCCTTTGGGCGTATCTTGACTAAAATACTTGCCATGACAAGGGAAGGTGGTACTTCCAACTAGAGGAGGAAGAGGAGGAGGGAAGGTGAGTATATATGATATTTAGATTGGAGTTTGCAGTATGTGGAATTTGCATTATGGGAAATGTGCCTTTTGCTGAAGGTCTGTGTGGATGTCAGCACATGCCTGCAAATTATTTATCCTAGTTTACAAGGTCCAAATATGACTAAACTTTACATAACTGGCCTTTTTTCCTCTTTTTTTTCCTTTTCTTTTAGTGGGTCTTTCCCCTTAATTTGCCTTTTTCAAAATGAACCAATGCAGGACATAGGTTTTTAATAAAGATGATGACACAGCCCTTTCCTAGGCACAGAATAGAAAATCCCAGATGAAAAGGAATGAGCATATTGGTGAGCATGGGCTGTGATCTGGAAGGTATTTGAAAGATCCAGTATGTGGTTCTTGCTCTCAGTATCCCTGCAGATATTTTTCTGTGTTTAAAAGGACAAGACTTAATTTCAGAAAAGCCCACTGATGAAGCTGGGTTATTTCATTTCCAGAACTTTCTGAGAGGCTAATAAGTAGAACTGAATAGAAGAAGAATTCAGCTTTTGGCATATGTGAACTTTTTTTTCCTGTGAACTATGTGACCTTTTTAGTTCCTTTTGATGTCAAGAGAAATTTTTGGGCATGCAGGCCTTTGAATTTTGTTAATAAAACATATTCTAATTTTCTCTGCTAATGAAATGGTTTCATCCCATCTCTCTGGTTTGTTAAATTTTTTTGATTTAGACACTAAGCAAACACGCTGTCTTCTTTGTGTGCAGGTGTTATTAATTACTTCATAATATTACAGTAAGTGGCCTGTACAGTATGTGGTAAATGTCTTGGTAATAGGATGTCTTGCTACTGTGTGCTGTTAATAAATCTCTTGCTGAGAAGTTGGAAGAGGCCACTGTGGTTTCTTGATCATAAGGCTTTGGTTTGTAGATAATTGATGTGAAAATTAGCAAAGTTCTGTGGTACTTTACTTATTGTTTATATGGTGGAAGTGTTCATTATGTGCTGATTAAAGGCTGGCTGCAATTTAGATGCCATCATCTTTGTGATTTCTTCTCTTGAGGTTTAAAGTTAGGTATGCTTAATATCTAGAAGATCCTTTCCAGATGCAATATTAGAAGTGTCAATCAATTGTTACAATGTTAGCAGAATTATTTTTTCAACTGCATTTGAAATGTATTTATATATGATAACAATTATCAGATTCATTTAAGTTTTAAATTCACACTTAATTACTATGTCAAAGGTTTTTAAGTTGCATCTACCACAAGAGTAGGTACCACAGCCTTCTGTGTAGAATAGTGCTGTTTAGTTTTGCCATTTTCACAGCATTTGCTGGTTGTCTGTACAACATGAACACCACCTAGGCCATCCTTTTTTTTTTTTTTTATTTCCACCTGATAAATAGCATTAGCAAATCAAGAACGGGAACGGACTAAATAAACACTTTATTCTTATCACTACTGCTGTAATCTCTGGCAGCAATTGCCACTGGGCTATTAAGTCCTTGGGAGCAAAGCATGTCCTATGCCTGGGGTAAGGCCCTTGAAAAGTCCATCAGTCTGCAGATAACCTGGAACTCACTGAATGCCAAGGAGGCAAGACCATATCTTCGGGACTGGTTATTAAGGTGTTGGTTGCTCCCTCTGGTAGGCATTCAGTTACTTGGTTGCTATTGTTGAACTCACTGATACCGAAAGAAATCTTTTTTTCTTGTGGTATTTTTGCGGAGGCCTGGCTTCTACAGCTGTCTCTGCAGTCCCCTGTGGGTATTTTTGTGGCTCTGGATCTCAGTCTGGTAATGGCATTTTGCCTTATCTGGCCAATTTAGTTAATCAGATTGTTTTATATATGCTGGTGTGGTGCTTGATCTGGCTTTCAATTTTGCCTACTGTCCCAGCTTTGTATTCTTACTTATCATACGTTGTTTCTGCAGATGTTTTCTTTCTTGTCATTGGTCATGCATGCTAGCTAAAGTCTGCTGAAGAAAGTGATGAATTAGTCTCATGTACTAATTTGTTGTACATTTAACAAATGTGCGTTGAGATTGGCTGTGTTTGTTTACATATGCAGCCAGTCAATGGAAATTTTGTCTGATCTGAGAACTATGGGATTTTATGAATGCTTACATTTTTTGTCTGTCTGTTCCCTTGCACATGAAGTACTGTGGTGTTGCTTTTAGTGCTGCTTCTTGTGTAGGACTGACAAAGTTTTAGAAATTGTTGTGATGTAGAATTACAGTCTAAAGAGAGGGGTTGCCCATTTCCTGCTCGGTTGGGAAAGCCATGAATTTTTACAGGCAGTTTTTCAGATGTCTACAAGTGGACTGGACTGGATCTGGCTTCATTTCAGATTTTTTGTCCAAGAGGTAAATAAGTAAATGGTAATATCAGACTGGAGGCAGGTGGTTATAATTTCTGAGGGGGGAAAAGGCAAACTGGAGGATTGACAAGTTTATTTCTTTGAATTTACAGAAAAGATTTGTCATATTAATGAGTCACACAATCACAGATTCGCAAGTCAATAAAATAATCATTAGATCTTAGGCAATCACAGTACAATGCAGTTTAAAACCACAAGCAAAGGCATAATCCAGTGGGTGTTGACATTTTTTTTTTCCATTATCAGCCATACCTCACAGATAAGACTATCAGAAGGAGAACATTACAGACAGAATACAGTGAGTTTAAAAAAAGCCTTGAACATTCTCCATGTTTACCTTTCAGAATATTCATGGACTCTCTAGCCTGTGCTGTTTATTTTGGCTCAAGAACTAGCTGTTATGCATGAAGTATGGTGGCAAACTGTTCTTATTTTCTCTG